GCCGTACTACTAGTAACAAGAAGCTACTAGGGGCTCCTGGCCGTACTGCTAGTAACAAGAAGCTACTAAGGGCTCCTTGCCTTACTACTAGTAACAAGACCGTACTACTAGTAACAAGAAGTTAATAGGGGCTCCTGGCCGTACTACTAGTAACAAGACGCTACTAGGGGCTTCTCGCTGTACTACTAGTAACAAGAAGTTAATAGGGGCTCCTGGCCGTACTACTAGTAACAAGACGCTACTAGGGGCTTCTGGCCGTACCACTAGTAACAAGACGCTACTAGGGGCTCCTGGCCGTACTAATAGTAACGAGGAGCTACTAGGGGCTCCTGGCCGTACTACTAGAAACAAGACGCTACTAGGGGCTCCTGGCCGTACTACAAGTAACATGATGCTACTAGGGGCTCCTGGCCGTACTACTAGCAACAAGACGCTACTAGGGGCTCCTGGCCGTACTACTAGTAACAAGACGCTACTAGGGGCTACTGGCCATACTACTAATAACAAGAAGCTTTACTAGGGGCTCTTGGCCGTACTACTAGTAACAAGAAGCTACTAGGAACTCCTGGCCGTACTACTAGTAACAAGACGCTACCAGGGGCTCCTGGCCGTACGACTAGTAACAAGACGCTACTAGGGGCTCCTGGCCGTACTGCTAGTAACAAGAACCTACTAGGGGCTACTAGTAACAAGACGCCACTAGGGGCTCCTGGCCGTACTACTAGTAACAAGAAGCTACTAGGGGCTTCTGGCCGCACTACTGGTAACAAGACGCTACTAGGGGCTCCTGGCCGTACTACTAGTAACAAGAAGCTACTAGGGGCTCCTGGCCGTACTACTAGTAACAAGACGCTACTAGGGGCTCTTGGCCGTACTACTAGAAACAAGACGCTACTAGGGGCTTCTGGCCGTACTACTAGTAACAAGACGCTACTACAGGCTCCTGGCCTCACTACTAGTAACATGACGCTACTACTGGCCGTACTACTGGTAACGAGGAGCTACTAGGGGCTCCTGGCCGTACTACTAGTAACAAGAAGCTACTAGGGACAAGAAGCTACTAGGGGCTCCTGGCCGTACTACTAGTAACAAGACGCTACTAGGGGCTCCTGGCCGTACTACTAGTAACAAGACGCTACTCGGGGCTCCTGGCCGTACTACTAGTAACAAGACGCTACTAGGGGCTCC